TCACTGTGTGTCTGTGCAACGCCAGGCGTGACAGGGCCCTGATCTCAGTCACTGTGTGTCTGTGCAGCGCCAGGCGTGACAGGGCCCTGATCTCGGTCACTGTGTGTCTGTGCAACGCCAGGCGTGACAGGGCCCTGATCTCAGTCACTGTGTGTCTGTGCAGCGCCAGGCGTGACAGGGCCCTGCCCTCGGTCACTGTGTGTCTGTGCAACGCCAGGCGTGACAGGGCCCTGATCTCAGTCACTGTGTGTCTGTGCAGCGCCAGCCGTGACAGGGCCCTGACCTCGGTCACTGTGTGTCTGTGCAACGCCAGGCGTGACAGGGCCCTGATCTCAGTCACTGTGTGTCTGTTCAGCGCCTGGCACAACAGGGCCCCGATCTCAGTCACTGTATGACTGTGCAGCACCTGGCACAATGGGGCCCTGATCTCGGTCACTGTTTGTCTGTGCAGCACCCAGAATAACAGGGCCCTCATCTCAGTTAGGCTGCTGGAGCCATGGGACCCTCATCTATCATGCTGACCACTGTTGTCTCATTGTTCCATTCTATTCCACATCTGTCTTATCCATCTGTTGTCTCCTGTCTTATTCTTAGATTGTCAGCTGTTTGGGGTAGAGACCATCCTTTGGTTCTGTGTTTGTCCAGTCCCTAGCACAGTAGGTTCCTGGTCCATGGCTAGGGACCCGAGGTCATACGAATAATAAATAATAATAGTGGAATATCCTGATTAGAGCTGGTTTGAAAATGTTCAAGGCAGGTGCATTTTTGTTGGAAGCAAACCTTTACTGGGAACGTAAACTAGATATTTGACTGGAATTAGTCAAATTGAATAATTTTGACTTTCTCATTTCGTTCCAAAAATGTTTCATTTCAGTGTCATCCTTTGGATTCAGTTTGTTTGGACTTTGATATTATATTGGCGTATTCATACTCTACTAGATTATAGTATATTTATATATTTTATATTAACCCATAGGATATATTTTTATTTAATAGTTTGTATTGTATTGTAACCTTTTGACATTACCAAAAACAAAAGAACTGATTCCAGCCTTTTCTATCTAGCACAAGGAGCTAAAAGGGTCCCACAACCTGTTACTAGGTTTATTAATTATTTTATGTCACATCTGCATGGGGCAGAATGGGTGACGTGAGTTAACCTGTGTTCTTCTCTTCCCTGCAGACACTTTCTTCCCCAGAGTTTCCTCCTGGCGGGTCCCCCTCTTTGTAATCCTGACGATCTGTGTTTGCTTCCTCGCCTTGGCTGCCCTCTTCCTATGGAGGATTCACAAAAAGAAAGGTAAAGCTCCTATTTAACCCTTTTGCCACTGGAAAGAAAGAAATGAGATGTCCTTCGACAGATCTGCAGGTCCTTGGTGCTGTAGACCGCATAGATCCTTGGATACTCACATGATTTGACCCTCCCTCTTTCTACCTGGGCATATTTTTCCCATTGCCGGTAATTCATGTTAAGAGAGGAAAGGAAATTAATCTTCACTTGGGTGTCAAATGTTATAACATTTCCCAGCCTTTCCGTTATCAGTATTTTCCTTGTGTGTACCCACAGGTGCTGACTTTTGTTTTTGCTAGTAGCTGCTCCACCCCCTCGCCACCCTGAGGCCCCGCCCCCACTCTGTCCCCACCCCCAAGACCCCTCCCCTGCTCTCTGCTTGTTCCTCTTCATCCCCTCCCCCGAGCACCTCCTGCACACTCCTTTCCACCATCCTCTAAGACCCCCTGTCTGTTCCTCTCCACTCCTTCCCCTCAGTGTTACCTTGCCTATCCATCCACTGCTCGCTCCTCTCCGTCCCCAAGCGTCTCCCATCTTCGCTCGCTTCTCACCGCCCCGCCCAGTGTCCGCCCACCCGCTGCTTGCTC